GGGGGAGGAAGGTGCTGGAGCGTCTTCCAAAAAGGTGGAGGGGGACGTTAGGACAGGGTCGCCCCCTTCCCCTGTCATAATGAGGCATCTGGTAGGGGCGAGGTGAGATTTCCCAAGAAAGATTATTGGAGTTAAATAGAAGTACCCCCTCCCCGCACTCTTCAGAGGGGTCCCCCCACACAGGAGAAGGAGGGTTGGGTGAATTCTTTTAAGCTACTTCAGTATGAAACTTCTTCCAAAAGAAGTAGAGGTGTTAAGTAGAGGGGACCCCCCAAAAAAATACCAAAAGGGGTCCTCTATAGCGAAATGAAGGTGGCTTGGTTAGGGCACGATTTCCCTCTCCCAAGCTGTGAACATTCAAAAGAGGTATCGGGGGTATGAAAGGGCTTGTTAAACTGAGGGTACCCTTTGCGTCAAAAGAAGCCCTGTCCATAAATGAGGCGTGGGGCCTGGATGAGTCCTAAGTGGCGAGGGAGAGTTCATTATAGCATTTTCCTAAAAGTGGAGATGGGGGGATTCAGGGAAGAGTAGCCCCCACCAGCTCAACAGGGGCTGGAAAAAGATCCTCCAAAATAAAAGGTGTGTGCAGTGTACATCTTTCTGGGAAAGAAGGGGGTGGAGTCCTTCCCGTCCAAAATATAAGAGGCAGGTAAAGGACGGTTTCGTTTTTCCCCTCAGAGGAGTGGGGAGCTAGAAGGCACCTCCCCAGGAACAAAAAGGATGGGAAGGGAGGGGATCGATTGAAGGATTTTCTCTTGAACAAGGAAGTGTGTGCAGAATAGAGTATACCCATTTCAAAAGCTGGGGCATTAGGGTCTCTCCAGTGTTAAAAATCAAAGCAGAGATTTCCTTCTTCCCTCAGCACCTTCGAGAAGAGGGGAGGAAGAAGAATCCCCCACTGGTGGGAGGGACCCAGGGTTAAGTCAGAGTCCTGTAAAACCCCGGGGAAGAGTTAACTGTAATTGGAGCAGAAGGGATGGGTGCCACCCACTTGAGATGGGGGAGAGAGACTGCAGAGCACTCCCCAAGAAAGAAGTAAGGACAGATGGGTGCAGAACATGAGAAAATCAAGGAAGGGGATAAAAAAGGTTCTCCCCCCCCCCCATCAGAGTGGGATTCTGGGGTCCATCAAAGGTCACTGAAAGAGGATATTGCTGTCCTGAAAATCTAGGAGGTATCCGAAAAAATATGGGATTAGTTGGAGGGAGGGGGGAGTTGTGACATTCCTAAGGCCTTTGGAGGGGAGACGGGGATTCAGAGGAGAAGAGCTTCAACTTGAAGAGAGGTCCTCCAAAGTCAAACAAGAGAAGGCCGGGGAAACATCCCAATCCGGAACAAGAGAAGGAAGGCACAGCTGTGGTGGAGTCCAGGGAGAGAGGATTCCTCCTTGGACATCAGAGGGTAAAAGGGGGGGGGGAGGACCTCTCTCCAAAAGCTGCAGGCAAAGGGATCAGTGAACGAGTGTCGGGTCAGCATTCCAGGGGAGACATGAGTAGTTGAATGAGAAAGCTGAAAAAGAAAAGCATTTTCTCTCGGTCTCTTCAAATCCAACAGGGGCAAGGCTGGGGGGGGGGGGAGCTTCCTGGGCTAGAAATTTGTGGGAAAGGATGTTCTGTCTGGAGTGCTGAGGGGGTGTGTGCTTCTTTATAATTCTGGACACAGGCCTGGTCCAACTTCATACAGCCAGCTTTCTGAAGTTTATAGACTGTATTATTAAAAGCCTTCTCCAAGAAATATTTGAACGGTTAACATTCTTTTACCTTTCGCACACTTGGGAGGGGAAAAGGATTTTAAATGGGCGTGTGTGTTGGGGGGGAGAGGAAATCGAATTCACACAATTTCTATCGTCTGGGGAGTGATTAATTGGGAAAAAGCACTAAAGGGGGGCTGGGAAGAGGACATGAAGGACATTTGATAACTGTGATTGGAAAGAGCCTTGAGTCGATAACGCAAGCGTTTCAGATGACACATTTGTGGGGTGGGTGTTGTAGTCATCTCCTGCTGCTCCTGATAACTGGATAAACCTTGTGGCCATCTATCACCCTTAAACGTCTCTCAGGGGGCAGGACAATGTTATGTCACCATGTTGCAGAGACCTGAAAATAAGATGACGTTGGGGATGAGTTAGAGAGATGTCCCCGCCTAAACCAAAAGGGCTTGAGGCGGTGGAAGAGGATTATATTTCATTCAGGGTCCTCTGGGTTCCAATTCTGACAACCGACCGTAAAACCTTTGGGGTGGGGAGGCCTGCAGGGCCGAAGCAGGTGGCTAGGAATTCGAGCGCAGCCGCTTAGAGGGCTTGTAGAGGTGGGTGGGGGCTGAAGGGCCGGCCCACCCCTCCCTGCGCTGCGGCTGCAGTTTGGCTGGTGGGCACGGGACTCTCACGCCGCATTGCGTCTCTCCCTTGCCGGGTCCTGAGCCAGCCGCCTGCTGGGGGGAGCCGAGAACTGCAGTGACAGCCGGACACGAGGAAGGGGAGGCTGGCTCTTCCTGCCCCCCCCCCAATTCCTAAAATGCTGGGAGTCTCAGTCGGCCAACAAGGAAATCCTCCGTCGGTCCGCCAGATGCCTGTGGGGCTGATTATGATTACTCAGCAATGAGTAATTGCAACGCGGTGTGTTGTTTCAAACATTCCTAGGTTGAACTCAGGCTGTCCAAAACAGGTTCTGGCGCAGAGGCAGGCCTCAAAAGAATTGGGGCCCAGCCTAGGTTCCTTGGAGAGCCAGTTTGGTGTAGTGGTTAAGTGTGCGGACTCTAATCTGGGAGAACCGGGTTTGATTCCCCACTCCTCCACTTGCACCTGGCTGGATGACCTTGGGCAAGTCGTAGCTCTGATAAGAGCTGTTCTTGAAAAAAAGAGCAGTTTCTGTCAAGAGCTCTCTCAGCCTCACCTACCTCACGGGGTGTCTGTTGTGGGGAGGAGAAGGGAAAGGAGATTGTAAGCTGCTCTGAGACACCTTTGAGTAGTGAAGGGCAGGGTATAAATCCAATCTCTTCTCTTCTTCTGCTGCTGCATCATAGTGTAGG